TAGCCTGGGTTTCATATACAGACCCCACCCCCCAAAATACAATAAATATATGAACTCAAAAACCAAACTTACTGTCATTGAGTTGATGCCAACTCATAGTGATCCTTTAGGACAGGGTAAAACTGGCTCTATAAGTTTCTAACACTGTAACTCTTTACAGGAATAGAAAGTGCTGTCTTTCTCTTGCTGAGCAGATGGTGGTTTTGAACTGCTGACCTTATGGATCACAACCCAAATAACCACTATGCCACCAGGGCCCCTTAAATATACAAAGGGGCTTTAAAAAGTTCAATGGAAAATGAAATGAAAAGATAATGAATGATTTCCGCAAACTTGTTGAAACCCCTTCCCACCTCCTGCAGTCATTGTTTGCTCCACAAATCCCCTCACCCTCTGAGATAGTTAAGGTTTATTGTGCCAACCTGGCTGAAAAACACATGTGGGATTAATTGAAGGGCAGAGAGATAAATGGTTCCATGAGCCTCACCTTTCTAGTTCTCGGGTCTCTTGCTTTCTGATGGTCAGACCAGGGTGCCGCTGCCTTAGCCTGAAGCAGTTCCCTGCTTCAGCTGGCAAGGCTCATTTCCTGCAAGACATCCCTGAGGAAAAGCCACATGGACCTACCCCGATGCAGCACTGGGTGCTGGAACAGTGCTGAGATGCTTACACCCACACTGATTCAGCTTTCCTCCCGTAGTCGGCATCATTGCGTGTGTTTTGTGAGATGGAGGAGGTCTTTGTAGATTGATGTCTTACATATGGGCTAATATTGGGCTTATGGGCTTGGACAGCACTGGGTTGGAATGATTTCTTAATGTACACTTACCCTGTCCCTGTATATAAAACTCTCTCATATACATATGAGTTTCTGTAGATTTGTTTCCCTAGTTTACCCAGACTAACACACCCTCCCCACCTCCCATCCCCCCTCCATATCCCTGATAAACCATTGCATCAGTTATTGTCTCTTTGCATCCACCAGTGTCCGTAGTATCTTTTTCCATTCTTCCACTATTGGGCATTTGGGCTGCTTCCAGTTTCTTGCTATTGTGAACTGTGCAGCTATGAGCATGAGAGAGCACACATCCACTCATATTGTGTCTCTATTTTGGGGGGTATATACCTAAGACTGGTATTGCTGGATCTTAAGGGATTTCAATCCCCAGTTGCTTTAAGTATTGCCATATTGTTTTCCATAGTGGTTGTATGTACTTACAAGTCCACCAGCAAGTGTATACGAGTTCCATTCTCTCCACAGGCTCTCCAGCATTTGCTGTTTTCTGTTTTGTTTTTTTAATTGGGCTAGCATTGTGGGTCTAAGGTGGTATCTCATTGTGGTTTTAATTTGGCTAGTGATCAGAAGCATTTTTTCATGTGTTTGTTAGCCATTTGTACTTCCTTTTCGGTGAGCTGTCTGTTCATGTCTTTTTCTTACTTTCTTAACTAAGTTGTTTGTTATTTTCTTTTTTTAATTGTTTTATTAAGGGCTCATACAACTCTTATCGCAATACATACACACATCAATTGTGTGAAGCACATTTGTACATTCATTGCCCTCATCATTCTTAAAACATTTGCTCTCCACTTAAGCCCCTGGCATCAGGACCTCATTTTCCCCCTCCCTCCCTGCTCCCCCCTCCCTCATGAACCCT